TTTGTTCTTGAAATAAAAGAGTGTGTTTTATCCCCTCTGAGTGTTTCAAAGCCACCACAAGTGGTTTCTCCCACCAACATCCAACCTCTCGTTGTATTTTGCGGTTTTCATTACTTTTACGTCACTGTTGCGTATTGATCAGGACAGAGGGACTTTATTATCTTTCATTAAGAGATTGAATTGAAATCCATACCCAGGAGTCTTAATATTTCCAAGTGTTTCAGCATGCTATATAGCTCTTGAAATGAAGACCTCTGCTTTTGTTGCTTTCCTGAACGGTGTACAAGTTTTATTTCCATTTTTCCCCATCATCATTACTGCTTCATTTTTTTTCCTAATTCCTCCTACCTTCCGTGTTGCAGGAACTGGGAACTTACCGCACCATGGACTGGAGCTCAAATAAAAGTTCCAGTCAAGTTTATCGTGGGTGATCAGGACCTCACCTATAATTCTCTCGGTGCCAAGGATTATATAGCCAAGGGCGGGTTCAAAAGAGACGTTCCATTTCTACAGGATCTAGTTGTAATGGAAGGTGTGGGTCATTTTATCAATGAAGAGAAACCTGAAGAGGTCAGTAAGCACATTTACGACTTCTTTCAAAAGTCTAGTTCGCTTGCTTGGTTTCCCTTCTGTTGTCTTTTCTGAAGAGATAAAGAATTCAAGTGTGTGCATTCGTATGTTCAAAGCTTGCATGCTCCTGTGGGGTTTTGATTATTTGAATGAGATGTTCTTGTGTTGAGTTACTGTAATGGTTGCTGTAATTTCCATATGCACTAAAAATAAATCATGCTTGTGATTGTTTCGTGCCCAACATTTAACTGGTGCTTTGAGTAGCCTCGAGGAATTTATTGCTCAAAGCACAAGCATGCTGTGATGTAACATTTCCTCACAGGGCCATTTTCATTCTCTGTATCATTTATTCAGCATTGATTCACTCAGGCTCACCTGTGGAACACTGCACCCATGAAACTCTATGCACTTGCATTTTAGCTTTTTAGGTGCACAAAATAAAGGCACATTAACTAGAGTGCCTTCAAGTAATTGCAAGGACTTTCATCTATTGTTATAAATCCTGAAATACATGAGGGTAGCTAAGCTACTCAGACTTTGATTTCCAATGATCACATATTCGAGTTCTTTCATAATCATTAAAGATTTAAAATCATTAAAGATTTATTTAATTATTAATTTCAAAATCTGTAAAATTTATCGAGTTATATGCAAGCTAAATTAAATATCCATATTAATAATAAAAAAACTAAAAAAATCAAAAATCAGCATTCAAGTAGTGATTTATCAAATCAGGACTAGTTGAGTTTAATGTTTTTGGAAGATGTGATTGTTGAGAATGTGATATTTCTATTTAGTTGAAAATAAAAATTTTAATCAATGTATTTGTGTTAAGTTAAATAGAAAAAAATGTGGAGAATATGAGTAAATTTACCATTTTATCTTTGAAAATTAAACAATATAATGTAATCATAAGATATTTAATTGTCTTTCTTAATGCTTATCACATTTGTCAAGTCTAAAACTAAAACATTAAAGTAAATTCAATAGTTAATTTAATTTTATAAAATTATAGCTATCAAGTAGAATAATATATTTATCAACACGTTACATAACATATATATTGTGATTTCATAGAAAATTAATATAAACTAGTGACCTAAACTGGGTTATTATTGGAGTAGAAAAAAATAAAACATGCTAGGCAATGTAACATAGAGTGTGGATGCATTTAATAAGTTAAAAGGCTGAAAGCTTATTTTAGAAGAGAGAATCACATTTCCCGCGTCCTAGGGCATTTGATTAAGAAGAAGTTACTCAAAATTTCATTCAATCCTATTTTATTTTGGTACTAGAAAAAAAATCAAGCAAAATATATTGCTTCTATTTATTCGTATGCATGTAATTTATTACAAAAATCTATTGATACATAAATGACATGCATTTAAACAAAAACATAAGTTTTTCTATAAAAAAAAATGAGACAAGGTTTTATTAGTCACAGAAAAATATAATCTTTCTTCTAAAAAGAGGGAGTCTAGTCGTTAAAACGAGAGGGTAATATTTTTTAATTTCTTTTACTGTGAAAAAGTTAATTCTACTAATTTTAAAGTGACTAATCGAAGCTTTTTTATATATGAAACAAAATCTCTTTTCCGTCATAAGATCTTAGAAGATAAGCAAATGACATAAATTAAAATACTATCAATAATTAATGCAAAGAAGGTCTACTGTCAGCTAAGAGCCAGTGCCGGATGCAAGACTCCGGGGGGGTGCGGTTAACTTTTTCATCAGATCTTAGAAGATAAGCAAATTACCTATATTTCTTGTTTTTAATTTTTTTTTAATTTTTTATATAAAAAAATATTAAATCAATGCTTGATTTTTGGAGTAACTAGTCGTAATGGGAGGACTAGGGCATTTCCTCAATCAAGAGAAGGCGGATGAGATCAATAAGCACATTTATGGTTTCTTTAAAAAGTTCGAGTTTGCTTCTTCGTTCTCCTCCTGCTGTCTTTGCTGGAGAGTTAGAGCATGTTCGGCACGGCGGTGCAAAACCATGCATTGAAACAATGTCTATGGATGCCTTTGTTTGTGTAAGAGCTTGCATTTATTTCTCAAGCATCATCCTGGCGAGTCAAGGAACTGGTCCTTGTAATTTTCATAAGCCTCAAATCAAATCCTGCATTGTTTGCTCAGAGCATAATGCACGCTATGATATAAATCTTTCCACGGCCATTCATTTTGTGGATCCTTCAGTTTGGAGATTCACACTGCTTCTCCTCTTCCTTTCAATATGTAAGCCCTTAAATCTGTCGAGTCAGCGAGAGGCTTACCAAGCAAGATTGCAGCAGGGAAGACGGTTCGACCAAGGACGGACAAGTTTGATCGAAGCATTTTCCCTCATCGGCGCTCATGAGCTGTGAGAGTAGTTAGACATTGCGAGCCATGCCTTCAAGAACCACAGGTTGAGCTCAAGCTTCTCGCAACTACTCTGCTGTGGTATATATTATTATTTATTTTTGTATTTTTTAAAAAATTAAATTAAATTTTATTTTATTTTTAAATTAATATTTTTTTAGTGTTTTTAAATTATTTTTATGCACTAATATCAAAATTAATTTTTAAAAAATTAAAAATATATTTTTAATATATTTTTAAATAAAAAATACTTTAAAAAATAATAATAACTACACTATCAAACATTATATATATATATATATATATTGTTTGAAAATACGAGCAACATTTTTGTTCAGGGGTGAGGGTCTCCTTGCTACTTGTATTAGGATTTATACAGATGAACACCATTTTTAGTTTAAAAGCTTAACTTTTTCTTCCATTAATAAATTTATTTTTATATCTTTATTTTTAATATTCACAAGAATAATCAGGAATAGCAATTACTTTACCTCTTCCAGCTTAGTCCAATTCGTGTCCTTTAAGGGTAGCCTAACAATTAATGTTTGGGATATTTATTAATAGTGAAGGTATTTTGGTAATAATTATTTTTTAAAATATTTTTATTTTATAAATATCTTAAAATAGTATTATTTTTATTTTTAACATTAATACATTAAAACAATTTAAAATCATAAAAAAATTAATTTAAAGAAAATAAATTTTTTTAAATATTTTCAATAGTGATTTTGAAATTTCAAAACAAACAAGCTCTAAAAATTTAACCTCGAGTTCAAACATTAAAAAATAAATAAGATAAGAAATGATTATTTCAATTATATAGTCCAAAACCATTGGCCTTCCCATAAAAAATAAATAAAAAAGATAAAAAAAAGTAATGGCTTCTCAAAGGTGGTTGAATTTTTATATTTTCTCCATCATATCTTATATTTTTCATTCTGTATCCTTAAAATTTAATTATCAGATCCTTGTATTTTAATCTGTCCATGTACATAATTATAGTAACATAGCTGAGTATTATTAGTCCAAGAGTAACCAACTCCATTAATTTTTCTTGCAAAAACCTTTTTAAACCTATGGAGAGTGAATAATAGCTCTGTATTGTTTGGGATTTTTATCGAAAGGGCAACCACGGGTGATTTAATTTGTTTGGGGGTGTGAGGTTCATTACAAGCTACCTTGTCAAAAGAGGATCGTGAGTTTGGTTAAATCACAAATGAAAAAAAAACAAAAACACTTTTCTACCATTCATTGATAGTGAACCCACGTCAATAATATAAATATAAAATACTTATTCAATTCAAAACAAGTCTCAATTAAGTTTTAATCCAGTTATGTATAAATTTATTTAGTTAATTGGGTTTAATTAAATTAATTTTTATTTGATTTAATTTAAAATTTAATTTATATTATATACCGTATTGATAACTTGACACATCAAACTAAATAAAGTTATAAAAAAAATTCATTAGAGTTTTAACTTTTCTTAAATTGGTTTTTGAACATGAAATTACTGATCATGGACAACTTCATCCATATCCAAATCCAACAATAATTTAAGAAATTATTACTGTTTTGATTATTGTGTCATCTACTTGTATAAAATTATAACAAAAACTAAAACAACTAAGATGTGTGCTACTATTTCTATGTATAACGAAACACTTGCTTATTTTATTTTATTTTTAGTTTTGATTTTTTTCATATAACCTTTGTATAGTCTAATTAGCTGAAATTATGGTAAAAATACCACATTAAAAGATAAAAAACTAAAATATAAAACATAAAAAAAAAAATATGGCTGAATCCAAATTCACATCAATTTTTATTAATAAAATTTTTTATTTTATTTATTTTTTAATTTATATGTTTGAGAGAGGAGAGAAAAACTCATCAAAAAATAATAATAAAGAGAGGAAGTTGTTAATTGTTATAATTTTAACCATCAAAATTATTAAGTTTGGTATTAAAAGGTTCTCTTTTATTAGAGAAGTTTGATAGTGATGATTTTTCTCTCTAAATATGATAAGATCGATATATCAAGTTTTGATTTTTGAAATTTAATTAATGTTTTTAGTTATTTTGAGGAATTTTGCAATTGTAGGGCAGCTTGTTAGTTTATAGGGCATGTTTGATATGTTTTTGAATGAAAATGAATTAAAATAAGGATTTTAGAGAAAAAACCTTACCCTCGATTTTCTACTTATAGTAGTAGTTATTGAAGTTTGAGCAAAATCAGGTGACAAGTTATTTACCATTATAAGTAATCTACTACCTATTTAATTAAAATAATAATAATAAATAAATAAAGCTCTAGCGCTCCTGAGCATTTTAATTTAGGTCAAGCTTACATGTTTAACCAGTTTTTATTTTTAATTTATTTATTTTTATATTTTTTACAATTAATTAATTAATTTAAAATATATTAATTTATTAAACTCTCAAAATCAATTAAGAATATATTTTAAATGTTATTTTATTAGATATCATTTATTTTTTACTTTGTTTTTTAATAAGAGTATAACAATATTTTTATAATATTAGCAGGTTTGGTTTACAACTTATCATTAATTTTTTTAAACATTTTATCATATTTTTTTTTAACAACATATATTTTTATTATATAATTAGAAAAAGTGTCTTACAAAAACAATGTTACTAGACGATGTCAACACCATAATCTATGTCACTAGTTTGCCGGAATATGTTGGGTTCGATTAAGTTAATTAAAGATGTTATAATCAGATATTTTCAAAAAAACCTACTTCATGTAAAATAAATTTTGAGTTTATAATTAAAATTTTGTTTTCAAATAAAAAATATATTAACAATGAATGCAAATTTTTCATGGTTTTGCGTCTATCCAAAATAGAAAGCCTGCAAAATTGTACAAGCATCCGACAACACAACATGGTATTGTTATATTTTTAAAAAAATCAAGATAACTTTTCTTTTAATATTTTATTCATGGTGTTATTTGTTGAATTTATGATTTAATTAATAGATTTTACTAGGTTTGACTATTTTTTTAAAATATATTTTATTTAATTATATAATAATAAAAATAAATACTCATAAAAACAATCATAAACCAAATGTAAAATGATATTTATTTGAGATTTTGATAATTTTATAAAAAACAAACTAAAATAGTAAATGAAGATAATTTAAAAATCAAGCAAATTTTAAAGATAAAATTACAAAAATAAAAAAATAAAAATGAGGGGAAAAATGCATAATTTTATTTTTACCTCCTTCACTAAGCCAATTCAAATAAGCTCGGAGTAATTTGATGAACCAATAACTTATGATATGAGATAAAAATAATTTTTTTTTTAAAAGGATGACATTGTAAAAAAAACTAAAGTTCAATTAAAAATATATTAAAAAAGTTTTTAGTCAATCTGAATTAACTTTATTAATTCACTTTCACAATAATCAAATACTAAGAAAAAAAAAATAAAAATAACAAATTTTAAAGGACACGTGAAATAATGAAATTAAAAAAAAATCATAAAAAAATATAATCTTGAATTTGAATTATTAAATTTAAATTAAATAGTTATATCCACATGATAAAAATTAACCCTTTTTATTTCTTATTTTTTACCTAATATAAATCATTGAATTCAACAATTACGACATTTCCCTCAATTCTAAAGCTGATAATTTCATTTAATTACTTGCCATTTAACTTCATTTATATCATCTAATACAAATCATTCAAGGTCAAATTTGAATTAAGAAATAGAAACATATATGATATTTTCTTATTCCAATCAAGAAATCAAGTTAACCTAAATCAGATTTTTATTTTATAATTAAAATTTTTCTTAATGCTAGAAAACACATTGAAAACTCATTAATATATATATATATATATATATATATATATTACCATTGAAAAAAATTAATCCAATTTGCAGTGCGTATATGGGCCGAATCGAAAGAACTTAAAAGATAAAAACACACACATCAATCCAAAAAGAAAGCAACGATCCAAATTAAAAGGCCTGACAGAGGATCCCAAAATATAGCCCCTTCTTCTTGTCAAGAGAAACGAAAGAACAAAGTCTATAACATATTTTTTATAATCGTGTTCTTATGTAAATACAAAAAATGAATTTTTTTTATTTGTATTTTTTTAACATACTTGCCTGTAAATTGTTTCCATTAAAATTAACGCTTTGCACATAATGCTTTGTAATCTGTTGACTTGGATTCTCTTTTTAGAGCACGTAAAAATAAAAAAAACACAAATGATACCAAATCGACACATTAAGAAATATGAAAGGACCAAAATGGACTTTTGGACTCCCTCGTGTGTCACGTTCAATTCAATAATGCAATGTTCCTTATCCCTTTTCCTCTCCACTCGCTCTGATCGTCACCCACCAAGAAAAAGCTTGAGACTGATTATACTTCAAGGATTGAGCTATTAAAAAGAATTTTATCCTTATTTTATTTTAAAAAATTAGTATTTAAAATAATAATTTATTAAATTATATTCATCGATAAATTTAGAAATTTGTTTCTATCTATAAAGTTTAGTGTTTTCATTATCTAAGTGCTATTATTTTTCAACATAAAATAAAATTAACATACATGTATACATATTTTAAATGAAAAGATTATAAATATTATATATTATATTTTAAAAAATACAAATATTCTACTAGCATATGTGTATGATGTAAATGTATATATTTTGAGTCTAATTTCATAATATTTGTACATATTTATTACTAATTGAAAAAAAAATAAACCCTACAAATTCAAGCATGATGGAGTCTAATTCCCATCATTACTTTAATTTGGTATTTTTAGATTTTACATATTAATTCATGATTTAGTTTCTTTATTATATACAATATAATTAGAAAAATAAATAAAATATCGAAATAAGAAAATCATTTTCAATGTTAATCTTTTAATTGGAATTCCTGATAACCTCATACGTTAAATTGACTTCATATCCTAGTAACATTGCTACCATCGTTTGTGGGGTTTTTATTTATTTATTTATTTATTTAATGTTTCCTAGGCATCGTCTCACCAAACTACTTTAAAGTTTAAACTGTCATCTTGCAAAGCCTTAAAAACCCCAACCCACAACTCTGAACACAAGCACAGGAACCATGGCCTCCTCCATAGAACACAGAACTATTAATGTTAATGGCATTAATATTCATGTAGCAATCAAAGGTCCAGAGAATGCCCCAGTTATTCTCTTCATCCATGGATTCCCTCAGCTATGGTATTCCTGGAGACACCAGATTGAGGCTCTATCCTCACTTGGCTACAGAGCTGTGGCACCGGACTTGAGAGGCTATGGTGACACGGATGCGCCTGCTGAGGTTACAAGTTACACTGTTCTCCACGTGGTTGGTGATTTGATTGGTTTGCTTGATGTCGTAGCTCCGAATCAAGAGGGTGTTTTTGTTGTGGGACATGATTGGGGTGCTTTGATAGCTTGGCATTTGTCTTTGTTTAGACCGGATAGAGTTAAAGCTATGGTTAACTTGAGTGTTTTGTTTAATCCAAGGAATCCCAGTAGGAAAGTTATTGCGACTTTGAAGGCTGTTTATGGTGACGATTATTATATTATCAGATTCCAGGTTGTTTTATTGTTATTTTAATGATGGGTTCTTGATTTTCAGAATCAAAGTTACTTGACTGCATGCTGTTTTGTGATGTCAAATTGTAAACTTGTTCTAGCAAATCTTTCGCCTTTTCTGGATTACGTGGATTATGTTAGCAGATTTTATAGGTATGTTTACTATTTGAAGGGATCATTTGACAGGTATGAAAAGATCAGGCATTTACAGTTGTTTATTTGAAATGACCTATCTTTTCTTTTGTTATATGAAGTGTTTAATCATCAAGTTTTAGACTTTTGATTGTTATGCTAATGAATCTTCGACCCTTTATGTAGTATAGGAACTGGATTATCATCTATTTTATCTTTTGTTTACTATTTACAGTGATTATTTGATTGGGATGGATTAGATTGGGCTTTTTGGTAGTAATTAGCTAGTAGCTACAAATTTGACCAGCTGTTCTAGCTGAAATGATTATCTAACAGTATAATTTTAGCTGAAGCTTAAATAATCATTCATGGCATCAGACAACTTTGTTATCTAACTGTTCTTGGGCACACTTGAGAAAGTTTTTAATCTTGTTCTTGTATAGTTTATCATAATTGGCTTCTTATAATGATGTACAAAGCCCATTTTAATTGAGGAACTGCTTGATTGTTTTTGTAGGAGCCTGGAGAGATTGAAGCTGAGTTTGCAGAGATAGGCACAGAGAAAGTTCTCAAGGAATTCTTAACCTACCGCACTCCAGCTCCTATCTTTTTACCTAAAGGCCAAGGTTTTAATGGAAAGCCTCTGGACACTCCAGTTGTCTTACCCTCTTGGTTGGCTGAAGAAGATGTCAAGTACTACACCAGCAAGTTTGAGCAGAAAGGCTTTACTGGAGGATTGAACTATTACCGAAATCTTGACCGGTATGACTTTCATCCATGTTTGTTCAGTTTGTTGGTCTTTCCTGGTAATGCAGATTAAAAATTTCCTGTAGCCTGGAAATTTAGATGTGTCTCCAACCTCTGTTGTATTTTGGGGTTTTTGTTACTTTTACATCGCTGTTGCGTATTGATCAGGACAGAGGGACTTTATTATCTTTCATTAAGAGATTGAATTGAAATCCATACCCAGGAGTCTTAATATTTCCAAGTGTTTCAGATGCTATATAGCTCTTGAAATGAAGACCTTTGCTTTTGTTGCTTACCTGATCATGTACAAGTTTTATTTCCATTTTTCCCCGTCATCATTCCTGCTTCATTTTTTTTTCCCCCTAATTCCTCTTACCTTCCATGTTGCAGGAACTGGGAACTTACTGCACCATGGACCGGAGCTCAAATAAAAGTTCCGGTCAAATTTATCGTGGGTGATCAGGACCTCACCTATAATTCTCTCGGTGCCAAGGATTATTTAGCCAAGGGCGGGTTCAAAAGAGACGTTCCATTTCTACAGGACCTAGTTGTAATGGAAGGTGTGGGTCATTTTATCAATGAAGAGAAACCTGAAGAGATCAGTAAGCACATTTACGACTTCTTTAGAAAGTTCTAGTTTACTGGGAACTTACTGCACCATGGACCGGAGCTCAAATAAAAGTTCCGGTCAAATTTATCGTGGGTGATCAGGACCTCACCTATAATTCTCTCGGTGCCAAGGATTATTTAGCCAAGGGCGGGTTCAAAAGAGACGTTCCATTTCTACAGGACCTAGTTGTAATGGAAGGTGTGGGTCATTTTATCAATGAAGAGAAACCTGAAGAGATCAGTAAGCACATTTACGACTTCTTTAGAAAGTTCTAGTTTACTTGCTTGATTTCCCTTCTGTTGTCTTTGCTGAAGAGATGAAGAATTCAAGTGTGTGCATTCATATGTTCAAAGCGTGCATACTCCTGTGGGGTTTTGATTATTTGAATGGGATGTTCTTGTGGTGAGTTACTACTGTAATGGTTGCTGTAATTTACATATGCGCTCAAAATAAATCATGTGTGTGGTTGCTTCGTACCCAACATTTAACTGGTGAATTGATTGCTCAAAGCACAAGCATGCTGCGATGTGACATATTTCTTCACAGGGCCATTTCATTTTCTGCATCATTTATGTATTCAGTATTGATTCACTCAGGCTCAAGTGTTCGTGGAACACTGCACACATGAAACTCTATGCGCTTGCTGGAGGCGCCTCGCATTTTAGCTCTTTAGGTGCCCCAAAATAAAGGCACAGTAACTAGAGTGCCTTCAAGAAATATTGTTGAGTTAAACCAGTGATTTATAAACAGAGGACCTAGCTCCTGGTTGGGTTTGATGTCAAACTAGGTTGAGAGTTGACCGTAACATATCCAATCGACTTGATGAATTAACCTGTGATCTAGTTTATCTGGTTCCAATATGAGTGATGTTCTATTTAACCGTTTATTTTTTTAAAAAAGAAATCTTTTAAAACAACTTTGTGTTTAGAAAAAAGATACTTCAGAAGCTTTTACTATTAAATGTTTTTTGCAAGATGTGACTGTTGAGAATGTGATATTTCTATTTAGTTGAAAATAAAAATTTTTAATCAATGTATCTTTGTTGTGTGAAGTTAAATAGAAAAAAAAAATGTGGAGAATACGAGTAAATCTATCATTTCATCTTTGAAAATTAAACTATATAATTTAATCATAAGATATTCAATTGTCTTTCTTAATGCTTAACACGTTACTCAAGTCTAAAACTAAAACATTTAAATAAATTCAATAGTTAATTTGATTTTATAAAACTATAGCTCTCAAGTAGAATAATATAATTATCAACACAATACATAGCATATATATTATGATTTCATAGAAAATTAATACAATCTAGTGACCTAAACTGGGTTATTATTGGAGTAGAAAAAAAAAACATGCTAGGCAATTTAACATAAAGTTTGGATGCATTTAAGTTAAAAAATTGAAAGCTGACATCTCCAGCTCTGCTTATTTTAGAAGAGAATCACATTTCCCGCGTCCTAGGGCATTTGAGATTCCCAAGAATTCAACCATACATAAAAATACTTGGCCTCTCGAATCACTTTCTCCGTACAATCTTAAATATCCTAGGACCAAACGCCCCCTTACTGATGTTTCGTGCCACTAGATGGGATGTGAGGATGCTCAACTACTTCCTGGCCTTTTGCGTTTCTCAACATTGAAGTGCACATCGATAAGATCTGTTATACCAGCTGTTATTTTTTGACCTATTTTTACAGGGCCAACACCTTGTGGGGTGCCTGCATAAAAAAAGATAAAAAGGCAAATTATTCAAGACTTCAAATGACAAGATCCTATATTTGATCACACTAGGAAGACATCTCAAAATTCCCACAAGGGATGGCCATGAGAAATTATCCAATACTCAGTTGTATGTACTAAAAATCTCTCCTCTCACACTTGCATATGCAGAATAGATCTCATATAAAGGTCATAGTATGTACTAAAAATCTCTCCTTTCACACATATGCAGAATAGATCTCATATAAAGGTCAGAAGACAAACGCTGAGCCAGAAGGCTGCTAGCAGTGTTCATATAGTCCAATGAAACCTCATTTTAAAATAAAACGATTCCTTCTCACATGGATACCTCACTGACACAATTTGCCTTTACAAACAGTAAATGATAGATATATCCAAAGGGTCTATAATTACTGTGTGAATACTGAGAATAAGAAACAACATCTATGTAAGAACTTGCCACAGCCGTGATGATTAACACATCTCAAGCATCTTTGATTAGCATTTGACTAAGAGCAAAGGAATCCTCTTACAAAATACAAAACCACAGAAACAGAAAAAAGTATCCCATGATACCTGTTAGTATAACATCTCCTTCAAAGAGTGTCATGATAGAACTGATGTGGCTAATGAGAAATGGGATTTTAAAGATCATATCTTTGGTGGAACCTTTCTGGCGTATTTCTCCATCTACCTACAGTGAAACAGATCCATTTGACCTCTGATGAATCCGAATAACAACATTTGAGAAGAAACCTTCAAAATGGAGCAAGCAAAACGATGATTTTGATACCTTTAACCATAGTTCCAAGTTGTCAGGGTCAGGCACATTTGACTTGGAAAGCTGCACAAAGTTTTTGAAAGTTGAGCATGTGATCAAGATCAATGACATACTGATTAACTTATTCACAGTAAGGGTAGAAAACCCTAGATAGATGGAAAATCTTAGTATTCTTCCTTTTAGCAAAAAAGAAAATGGCTGCTGGTAAAAACATATATGACTACACGGACAAGTTTGATGATTATGAATATCTAAGCTTCAATGAGTGCAGCATTCACAACTACTACAAATGGGACAGCAACAGTGATTTAAAGGTAACTTGCATAACTTCCTCGTCGCCCCATCTTTCTTGGTTAGTTGTTAATAACTCACAATTATCGGCTGGGTGTAAGGATTAAACCTCAATATTTGAAAAAAATTGTTTATCAACATGGTTATAATCAGACAGGGAAGCAATAAAAGAGAACGAAGTCCAATTCATTTCTTACAACAGAACTGATAGGCGTGAATGTGTCTTGCCCTTTAGCCACAGTCCACGGGAGCCCTGCAGACTGACAAACAATACAAAGAAAAAGCCATTAATGACGTCAATTTAAATTGCCCATTACTGCACTCAACATTAAACGACAGAGATCGAGAGTACACAGCAACACAATCAATACGTGGAAACATACACTTCTTAAACAACAATCTCACATTCATATATTTTCCAGCGTTGCACACATAGTCCAACGCAAACATCCTTGCTTCACATTTACATTCACTTTCGCTACATCCGGCAACTTCCTCCCACAAAAAACAATTATGCTCTCCTCATTTCTCCATACAATTATACAACGAAAGAAAAAAAGAGTAAAAAAAGAGTATGTAATAACATTTTCTTGTTACAATCACTACAGATTAAAACACAATCTTTTTTATGTACTTATTTTTACCTTAGCAGTAGCTTGTATTTCCCTAGCAGTCATATCCAATGCAAGCGCATACCCTTAAACAAAAATAAAAGTTACTTCTTCTATTTTAAATTTTCAGACAATAAAAATCCAACTTAAAAAAATAATATTTACAAGAAAAACATCAACCTCCAACATAATCCATGGCAGTTGATTCAGGCACATCACGAGCTTTCTGGCCAATAACAACAGCAAGCTCGACTTCATGATGCAACGACTCCAACGGTTGTGGAATCTCGATCGTACCTCCGTTTTCCAAATAAGATGACGTCGGTTTCATAAACAACACCGGTTCCTATCCATTGCAGATATTTCAAATTACATATACATATATAATATTGATTATCGAGTGGTTAATTTGATGATTAGAGAAAAACCCTGGGGACGGCGTTGCCAAGTTCTTTGGCGTGAGCGGCGTAGTTACGGCCAACGGCAACGATCTTGGTTCCTACATGAAGTAGCTTTTGTATGCCTGCTGACGGTGATGCCATTACGATCAAGATCGGTCTTCTCTTTATCGGAGCAATGTCAAACGGCGATCGTCTTGGAGGAGTACACTGGACTTGTGACCTTTTATTGTTGGAGAGAGGAAATGAAAGGGAAGAAGAAGTCAAAAAGTAACTCTCTAGACCCGACATGTCGTTAATACCCAATTAAGAAAATGATATATATATATATATACTGGTCTTTTTTTTTTTCAATTTGTTTTTATGTTTTGTTGATAGGGATCTTGAATTAATATTTTGTTTTATTTTTTTTATGTGGATAAATTTTCTCGTACAAATATCCTAGCTATGCTTTGGTGTTTGATTTTTTTTTGTTTTTTTTTTAAATATGATTTTTACTTTGATTTATTTATTTATTTTTTAATATTGTATTGATTAGAATTTGAGATTGATAATTTCTAAACACGTGGATGCTTATTTTTTAATGTAAGTTTAAATTATATATTTTACTGGCAACGATTCCAGCAATTTGACGTTTATAGTAAACGGTGGTTGGTTAGCTTCAGGTAATCAGAAATAGAAAAGGTTATATTGTCATTGACCGAATGAACATACCATCATGCTCTTGATATGTATTTTGCCATGGCTTCCGGGATTTAGTCAGAATATCCAGAAATATTATTAATGTCTTGTAATTGCTTGGTGCGATGCTGGTGGTGAAGGTGGCTAGAGTGCTATTGAAGAGAAGGAGGAGCCAACTTTCAAGGGGCAGATCATTGCTCCTAAATCTATGGAAAATAAGCTCTAAAAATGAATGCCTTCCTCATCGCCAGGCCAGAATTTATCAATGTGAGTTGGACAGCCTATAGAAAGCGTGTGCCTCTACCTGTCTGATTTGCTAAAATCATGGTATAAAGGAGGAGGAATGGAAAGAGAGCTTGCCGCAGTTACATCGGAGAAGCCTCGCCTCCTAACGAGGCTTTTTAGTTTGTAGAGAAGGAGAAACATACAAGGGCGACTATTACAATGAAATATTTGGCAAATGCCCTCCTCATCTTGTGCTTATTAGCAGCCTCTTGTGAGGCGAAGGGTCTGGGACGCCGCGTTCGTGCCGCCCTAAGAGCACCTCGCCGGATCGCTCCTAGAAGAGACCCGAATGAAAAGGTCTTCAACGTGTTACAGTATGGAGCAAAACCTGGAGGAAAACAGGACAGTGCATTAGTAAGGACTTTGATACTTTGGATGCTATATATGCATGTTCATAAAATAAAAGTTCGAAGCTTTTCAAGATGAACATGGAACATTGAAATTGAAGCATGGCAATGGCTGTAATCATCTGTTAAAACAAATCCACATTTGATAAGGGTTTTTAAGCTCTTATAATTTGTGGCTTATATATCTTAACTTTCCCTTGATTTTTCTCACCAAGAAATTTTGATGAAATTGATTAGATTGTGGGTTTGGCCTTCGCAGTCTTTCATTCGTGCATGGAGGGCTGCGTGCAATTATAGGGGAACGGCAAGGCTGCTTATCCCCAGGGCAACCTTCTTGATAGGGGCAACTATCTTCCAGGGGCCATGCCTAGGTCCAGTTCCCATTAAGGTTCAAATTGCAGGAACACTGAAAGCTGTAGCAGACCCTAGCATGTACGAAGAAGATTTCTGGATCTTGTTTGAAAAGATCAACGGCTTGCTGGTTACTGGTACAGGCACTGTTGATGGCCAAGGCAATGCTGTCTGGAAATACAACGACGGTGGTTCCAGGTTCCCAAGTGTAAGCAACAAAATTATCTTGACATGCATGCACTTGCTAATTACTAATTAGAGAATATGCGATTGATTTCAATTTAATAATGATTCTTCTTTCCTTTTTTTTGTTTTAATTATTTGTGGCGCAGTCTATAAAATTCAATCATGTAGTCAATGGGATTATAAGACAGATCACCTCTGTTAATCCCATGGGTTTCCACATATCCATCGTTCTGTCCCAGAACATCAGGGCAAAACATCTTCATATAACAGCTCCTGCGATGAGCCCCAATACCGATGGAATCCATATAAGCCAATCCAGTGTAGTGAAAGTATCCAGAAGTGTTATCAGCACCGGTGATGATTGCGTTGCTATAATTCAAGGAAGCACCGATGTCAGCATTAAAAAGGTTACTTGTGGGCCTGGACATGGCTTCAGGTAAGTCTCTGTTGAAAGTTTCAGGAAACACGTACGTTCTTTATTTATTTTATGAATATGCTAGGGGGAAGCAATTTTGCTACATACGCTCCTAAGGAGCTTTCCTTGTTTGTAACAAATATACTAGGAGGAAGCAATTTTGCTACATATGCTCCTAAGGAGCTTTCCTTGTTTGTAACAAATATACTAGGAGGAAGCAATTTTGCTACATATGCTCCTAAGGACCTTTCCTTGTTTGTAACTTACATACATATATATATATATATATATAACAGTGTTGGTAGCCTTGGCAAGTACCCTGATGAAAAGGACGTGAGAGGAGTCGTCGTGACAAACTGCACACTAAGGAACGCTGACAATGGAGTTAGAATCAAAACATGGGGAGGATCACCACCAAGCCAGGCTTCAAACATTCTTTTCCAGGATATTATCATGGACAACGTTAAACGCCCCATTATTATTGATCAGACCTATGGATCAAAAAGCAACTCGGTTAGTTTCCTTCGACTTAGATAGTGTTTGATTACGGTAAAAAATGTTTTTGCTTAAAAATACCATGTTTTAATTATTTTAACAAGGCTGCTTTTATCCTCCACAACTACCTGGAGATCAATGAACAGTTTCATCTTTGTATTTTGTTCTTGCAGCCATCAAGGGTAAAGATAAGTGATGTTCGATACATAAATATCAGAGGAACCTCCGCGTCAGCAGTTGGAGTCGATCTCATGTGCAGCAAGACTGTTCCTTGCGAAAAACTCTACTTTTCAAACATCAATTTGAAGTACTATGGGCAAAAAAAGCTGCCTTTCACTTCTACGTGTACGAATGCAAAGGTCAACTATGCTGGCTACCAATTCCCACCACCTTGTCGATAGGTGCTTAATTGTAGTTGAAAAAACTTCATTCTTAATTTCTCTTATATAAGGAGAAGGTCCATTTTTGGATTTACAGAAATTAATATTATCATCTTTCACAGATCATGCTACTTTAATTTGCTTGTCATTGATTGATTGCACACGCAACGCTGCAAATCAGCTGTAAACGTTTTGAGATCCTGTGTCAACTGTAAACATCTCAAGGGAAACCACTGGCATGGTGGGATTCTTGCAGGGTCTACTGATAACACTGCAATATAATCTTTACCGGAGCTGACAGCGATCAATTCGTCAG